AATATTTCCCAGCTTCTCCCCTCTGCAGCCTCTGAACTATGACCTTCTGCAAACCACTGTTCTAAATCTATACTGTTCTTCTCTTCTTGGGAATGTGCAGGAAGGGGGGGGTCCCACAATTTCTCCTCAGTCCAGAACCCGACACCCATTGACACATCACTAAAGGAGAAAGGAGGGCATAAATTTGCATAAAATCTGTATGTGCTCATTTATATGACTAGATGCAAATTTAGAAATAATTACTATAATTTAAATGCATCTCCCATAGTGGGGCAGACTGACCAGGCGCTATATCCAGAGGCAGTTTTAGGGTAGCACGACCAGTGCGGTCGCACTGAGCACTGTGCTGCAGGGGTGCTGTAGAATGCAGTGCGAGAGCCAAAGGGGCCAAATTTTAGCATCACACAGTGCGCTGTTGAAATTTGAGAGCCCATAGTGGATGGGGCTTGATGGCCAACGTAAATGGACTCTTCACGCCATTAAAAGGTAAAGGGGACCCCTGACTATTAGGTCCAGTCATGGCCGACTCTGGGGTTGCTGCGCTCATCTCGCTTTATTGGCCGAGGGAGCCGGTGTACAGCTTCCAGGTCTGTGGCCAGCATGACTAAGCTGCTTCTGGCAAACCAGAGCAGCGCACGGAAACGCCGTTTACCTTCCCACCGGAGTGGTACCTATTTATCTACTTGCACTTTGACGTGCTTTCCAACTGCTAGGTTGGCAGGAGTAGGGACCGAGCAACGGGAGCTCACCCCATCGTGGGGATTCGAACCACTGACCTTCTGATCGGCAAGTCCTAGGCTCTGTGGTTTAACCCACAGCGCCACCCACGTTCCCTTCACGCCATTACATCTGCCAAAAAGACTGATACTGATTCATCGGAAGATAATATTATGGCCCCGTTTGATCAACGGATGGAAGATTCGACAACTCTTGCAACAAATGGATTGCTTTTAGATGCAGGTTGTGTATGGATCAGTACAATGTTGCTTGGAGTGCCTTTATAAAAACCACAGCAAGTTGTTAATAATTGTACAGTGGTACCTCGGGTTAAGAACTCGTTCTGAAGGTTCATTTTAACCTGAAACTGTTCTTAACCTGAGGTGCCACTTTAGCTAATGGGGCCTCTTGCTGCCGCCACGCTGCCGCCGCATGATTTCTGTTCTCATCCTGAAGCAAAGTTCTTAACCCAAGGTACTATTTCTAGGTTAGTGGAGTCTGTAACCTGAAGCGTCTGTAACCCAAGGTACCACTGTATACTCGCTGGAATAATAGCATTACTTATGTACCTATATATTGCATTACAGTTTTGAGTTTCGTTTTGTTTGTTTTCATTTCTTTCACTTTATTTGTCCATGCCCCCCCATAGGATACAAATAAATAAATGAAAACAAGTTATCATATTTTCTTTCTATCACAACTCTATCACAAATCACAGAACTTTGCTGAGAGTTTGGAAAGAGAGTCTTTTTTGCTGTCCCACTGGGATGTATGAGTGCACAGAAGCCATATTGGAAGTTCTGAACCTAATTAAGGCCTCGGGGAATGAATGGAATATTAATAGTGGACCTGATGTTTTCTGCTCAGGGCCTGCCTTATGCAAGGTTAAGCGCCAGATGGTATCTCTTAAGATGTACTTGGTAGAGATTTGCTCAAGTTTGGCAAGCAACGCCTTAAGACAGATGACACCTGTGGCAGCCTCTCTGCCAAAAACAAAGCAGGCGTTTACTCATAAGTCAGACGTGCTCAAGAAGCTCAATGTGGGAAGCTTTTACATTTTCCTACAGATAAAGATACATAAAGCAGTCCTTTAAAAAACCCAAAAAGTTTCTGGCCAAATGCTTTCTTACAAAAAGGAAAAGTACATGTGTTTCATCTCTGGAAGATAGTTGGTGGGTACAGTAGTGCCTTGGTTCTCAAACTTAAACCGTTATGGAAGTCCATTCCAAAACCAAAGCGTTCCAAAACCAAGGCATGCTTTCCCATAGAAAGTAATGCAAAATGGATTAATTGGTTCCAGACTTTTAAAAACAACCCCTAAAACAGCAATTTAACATGGATTTTACTATCTAATGAAACCATTGATCCATAAAATGAAAGCAATAAACAATGTACTGCAGTCACACAAGCAGTCAATCAGTAGCTGAACTGGGTTCCACACAGTCACAAAAACAAAACAAAAAAGAGCCACAAAAACAAAACCACAAAATAAATAGCAAGAACAGACAGACCTCAGTGTAACAGTCAAAACGGAATTGTGGCGCTCAAATCGGAAGCATAACACTCAAAACAGAGCACGTTTGGCTTCCAAAAAAAGTTCGCAAACCAGAACACTTCCAGGTTTGCAGTGTTTGGGTTCCAAGTTGTTTGAATTCCAAGGCGTTTGAGAACCAAGGTACCACTGTATTTTGAAAATGCAGGAGTGAATGGTAATCACATATTGAAAGATCAGTGTTTACTTAGTCTATTAACATCTTTCTTTCTTTCATTCTTTCTTTTCATTTTAACTTTAGACATATTATTCTATAACATCACATATTTAGATCCTAGGCCAATCTGGTACTTGCAAGTATTTCTATTTAGGTAATCTTATCATATTTGGCTAAATAGTCTTTAAATTTCTTCCATTCTTCCTGGTACTCCTCCTCTTTCTGGTCGCGGACTCTTCCGGTCAGGTCAGCTAGCTCCTAACAGTCCATCATCTTCATCTGCCACTCCTCCACTGTTGGCACTTCTTGTGTTTTCCAATTTTTAGCCAGCAAAATTCTAGCAGCAGTTGTGGCATACAAAAACAATCTAGAAAGATGCCAATGAGCATTCTGGTTTTTTTTAAATACCAGCTTTTAAAAAATAGTTCTGCAAACCTTGTTCCCCACAAGGAAACCTCTCCCTTATCAATGGCTATTGCAATTTTGTTACATAAGCAACAGTTGTCCCAGTCTGAATGTCAAAAACAGTGAGGATGATTTTGGGGGTGGGTGTGCGTGCGTGTAGAATTGTGTACCTAAACCAGCTTCAATCAATCTTGCCTTCAGTTTCAAAAATATTTGTCTGAGGGCAAGGGGCACTTCTGAAGGAAACAAAGAGCAACCAATCTTTTCGGAAAGAAACAGCCTAAGGGAACTTTGCTTTGTGAGAGATGTATTGGATTGTTTGCAGTTGCCCACTACAAAAACTAAAACTGACCATAAAGGAAAGGAGCTATAATGACCATTATGTATTGGTGATCCATTTACCAACACTGCACTTAGTAATTAAAACAATATGACCCATTGTTATTTCGTTGCTGTAATATCCTCTCTGATATCATTGTCATCGTCATTTTATTATTTTATGCGGCCCATCTGACTGGGTAGGCCTAGACACCCTGGGCAGTTCCCAACAAAATATTAAAAACACAATAAAACATCAACCATTAAAAACTTCCCTGACCATCTCAAAGATGTGGTGTGGTGAAGGACCAGTCAGAGCAGGACTGGTTAGATTTTAAAGCTTTCTTCCAAATTGGTTATATGTTATTATTTGATCTGAGAAGTGCAAAAAAAGAGATAAAGGTTGTGGTTAATGATTACATGACACCTGAGACAAGGGCAGGCCAGTGATGATTGGGTGAAGTGCTGACAGTTGAGGAATTCAGTTTGTTTCATGTTTCAAGGGGAGCCCATCAGATCCACAGTTTCTGAAACAATTGCTGGCATCTGTCTCGAGAGACAATGGAGTGCGCCTCTGTGGGTGAAGTCAAACCATGGCTTTAGCAGCAACTAAGAGGCCTCCCCGGGTTGCAAGTCTGGGCAGGGTCCTGGGCTGCCCAGACAACAAGACTCCCCTCTTGGCCTTGTTGCTATAGTCCAAAGGAAAGCAGAGGAATACATTTGGCACCAGCATGGTGGCGGGAATTGTCAGAAGGCGTGTCAGTTTGCATTCCTTAGTGCAGAAAGAAATGATCTGATGTGTAGATATCTTTCCTATTCTAATTAATTCAAGAGGGATCTGGAAGCGTCTCTGTGTGAAAGAAACAAGCAGAAGAGGTCCATGGTGTTTGGGTTATTCCTTCCGAGAAGCTGAGTGCAGCTGGCTTAAACTGGTTCGATCATCTCTTCTGTCAAGGTCATGCTGACTATAAAAGTAGGGCCAGAAGGAGCCTGGGCTTCACTTTCTCTTTCTATCTCCTTTCCTTCTGGTGTGGTGTTCTGTATATAGTGATTAGACTTATTATAAGTTATTGTAAGGTTAAGTTAAGTCTGCTACAGCTGAATTTCTTATGGACAGTGCCAATCCTGAATGTATTGGATTCGTGACCATTATGCTCATTTGCCTTCAGAAGCAGTAAAGCTCTGCTGGATGAAATATTAATTGCCTCTGGTCTATTTTGGAGGGGAATCCCGCAACGTATTTAAGTTTTTACTCTGCTAACTATACGTTGGAAGTGAGAGCTGGACTGCTGATTGCTGAAGAATTGATGCTTTTGAATTATGGTGCTGGAGGAGACTCCTGAGAGCCCCATGGACTGCAAGAAGATCAAACCTCTCCATTCTTAAGGAAATCAGCCCTGAGTGCTCACTGGAAGGACAGATCCTGAAGCTGAAGCTCCAATATTTGTCCACCTCGTGAGAAGAGAAGACTCCCTGGAAAAGACCCTGATGTTGGGAAAGATGGAGGGCACAAGGAGAAGGGGACGACAGAGGACGAGATGGTTGGACAGTGTTCTCGAAGCTACCAGCATGAGTTTGACCAATCTGCGGGAGGCAGTGGAAGACAGGGGTGCCTGGCGTACTCTGGTCCATGGGGTCACAAAGAGTCGGACACAACTAAACGACTAAACAACAACAACAAACTATATGTTGGAATCTGCTCTGGATCAATATGGAGTAGAATTCCATGAGAGGAGGCGCACAAGGTGCCATCCAAACCTGTTTGAGACTCCACTCTGGATTTGCATAGGGTTCACTCCTTAGCCTTTGGTTCTCCCGAAAATATCCCAAAGTATCTCTCCCAGTCCTACCTGGAGATGCCAGGGATTTAACTTGGGACCTTCTGCATGCAAAGCAGATGCTCTACCGCTGAGTGACAGCTCTTCCCCATAGGGGTCAGATTGAATGATGGATTTAAAAGCTGGAATTTGTTCTGCGGGTAGGCCTGCAACAAAATGTTGCCGCATGGAGTGCTGCTGTTCAAGGCTGGTTAGAGTTCCTCCATTCCATTCCTCTTCCCTGCTGGTCTTCTGTGTGGGCAGGTGTCACCTGCAAAAGTCTGTCTGCATTTCAAGGCGACTGACAGGTGATAATTCCAGTGTGCGTGGTGCCATTTTGCCTCCATGAGCAAAAGCACTAGGAGAAAGGAGATCACCACTGGTATATATGCACTACGTTTTATAGTGAATACTGAGAAGAGCAGAACGAGCAAATTGGTTGAAAGCGACAGGAAGAAGGAGAATAAGCCCAGGGGGTATACACTTCTAGAAAATGAAAGGGTCATTGGTGAGTTTGAATTCGGGAAACAGGAATAAAATGAAATAAAAGGAGCAGAGAAAAATGTGTTTTGCAAAAGCCTTCAGGAAAATTAAGAGTTGATGGAAGCCAACACTATTCCCTAATCAGCGCTTGTTTTGAAGAGTGGTTTTCCATCAAGGAGAGTACCTGCACTCGTCATCCCTTCCATTTGTCTGATTATGACTTGAAACTCAGAAAATAAAACACTTTTCCACTGTTAGCGATCACGAGAAGTGTGTGGCCTTGTAGAAGAAGATCTGGTCAAGCCCATAATTAGAGATTTTGTCTTGGGCGGGGGCTAAGCAGGCAGCAAATCATTGCCAAACAGCCTGGATATAGAACTACTGGTAGCACAATAGAGTTTATGTTTGCTGTTCAAGAGCAGTAGAGTAGAATACATTATCGCTTACATATCCAATAGTAAAAAGGCCAGAAGCTCTCTCGCTCTTTCTCTCTGTCTCCATATGATGATTGGTGTCTTTGGTGACGCGTGTGATTGGCAGTGTTGGTCAGGCGAGTGAGCCTTTTTTGGCAATCTCCCCCCAAAAAGTTCAACAACTTTGGACAATCTTTCCCCCCCCCAAAAAAAGCTTAACAACTCTTGGCAATCTCCCCCCATTCTCTTAATGTGGAGTCCCAAAAATAGGGGGCGTCTTATACACGGGGGTGTCTTATACATGGAAAAATATGGTATATTTATATATACAGTCATACCTCGGGCTGAATGTGCTTCAGGTTGAGCGCTTTCAGGTTGCGCTCTGTGGCAACCCGGAAGTAATGGAGTGCGTTACTTCTGGGTTTCACCGCTCGCACATGCGCAGGTGCTCAAAATGACGTCATGCGCATGCGCGGAAGCGGCAAAACGTGACCTGCGCATGCGCAGATGTGCCATTGCATCTTACATTCTATTCAGGATGCGAACGTTCTATTCAGGATGCGGATCCCGTTCGCATCCCGAGGTACCACTGTATATATAATTACATGCCATTACAATCTCTGAGCAGGTAGTGATTCCAGGGGTTTCAATGTGCTTACCCAGAGTTCAGTTTTCTTGGAACGAGGGACAGCAGAGACTGTGCTGTCTTCAGGATAGATGGCTCATTTACACATATATACAACCTGAGCCTAAGATGGAGGATTTCATAGCATCCCCCAGTTTGCTCTGCTTGCCAACCTCACCTACCCCACACACCTGACCAAGCCCTCCTCCCTTTACACTTCACCCCTGCCTATCCCCCCAGATAGCCCCCCAGCTCTCCCCAAGCCCCTCCCCTCTCATCCCAAGCCACAGCCCCTTTTAAAGATGGGGGAGGTGCTTGGCATGGGGGAGTGGCTTTCTAAAGCACTGTGAAGGACCTCCCCTCCTTAGATTTAGACCTCGCTGCAGGCATGCGAAAGATAGAGTGTGATGACACCTCGTTGCAAGCGGTGCTTGATGACTTGGTAGTGTCATTCTGGATAGTGTATTTCAAATGGGCTTTGGGATGGGGTCGCAGGAATCATCGGTCCCATTCAAGCAGGCTTCTTAGAAGCAAGATCTACAAATGAATGTTGAGAAAAGAGAACGGCTAAGGGCCAAACTCGATGTGACAATGGTGATCGTAGAAGTGGAAGGGAACTTGGACATTCTTCCAAGTGCAGTGGCATAGCGTGGGTTGCCAGAGTCAGGGCAGCATGGAGGGGAGGGTGGAAGGGATGGAAATGGACATTCAACTGCCTAATGGTGTCCGCGTCACCCAGGAGATCGCAGCCACAGAGATAAGAAAAGGAGAGTCTTTCCATTGTCTGGAGAGGTCACTTCCTGGTTCCCATGAAATCATTTTCAACCGAGTCCAGCAACGGAAACGCACGGCTGTATTGAGGCAGCACTGGATGTTGAAATTTTGTGCACCCTACCAATTTTTGCGCAACTGCCCCTGTGGCTCACACGCGCACACACACACTATGCCACTGTTCTAGTGACAAGTGATCCAGTCATTTAGTGATCTAGATTCTTGTCCCGCTCCTTGCTTAGTGTGGGACCTGCGACTCAGGATGCAGTCACAGCATCCCTGAGAGATGGCTGCCCAGCCTCTTTCAGTGTATCTGGGTCTCCTTCAATCCTTTCCAAATAGCAGCTTCAAAGAGCTTCCAGATTAGTAGGGCAAGGGCATAGGAGCAGGGCAGCTAACCTTCCCCTGTTTCCCTGATTATCCCTCCCCATTGCAGCTGCTATTTGCCCTCTTAAGAAAAACACATGTACACAGTGGCAAAGTGGAGGAAACAAGTTTGTAAGGAAAAGAGCAATGCTCGCTGGTCATGTTTATCTGCAACCAGTTATCTGGTTACTAAAACTGACGCACACCAAGAGATCTTCCAGGGTCCTTATTCACCAATTTCATAAAAGCTTGGCAGGCACTAAAAGGATACAGTGGTAAATGGCTGTATGTCAAGAAATGTCAGAAACATTCCATTGTGTTACTCCTCAGGATGAAAAACCAGTTTGAAGGGTCTCTTCTAGGGTTGTGGACTGGTGATGATGCAGCGTCAAGCTACTCCTGCAATAGCAGAAAGCACAAATGTAGAAAGGAGTAAATGGTACAAGTGGTTTTCAATTAAAAAGAGAACCCTACGGAGCTGGCAAAGCAATTTGAGAAAAACTCCAATGGATGAGAGTTGGGATCAATATGCTCCATTCTATAATTTTATCCATAACTGCGTCAGAGGGCAAGAGTTGGTGTCGAGATGATGCCCAGAAGGGGAATGATCTCTGCAGCAGTTCCTTTGAAGAACGACTGGGGCACTAGACCGGTTCTTGTTCCGTTCCAATGATACCTGAACGCAAGGGCCAAATTAGACATGGCAGCATGGACGCAGCTAGCAATCGTGTGAATGAGTTTTTAAAAAGCAAATAGCATGTGTGGAGTCCCTGATCTGGATTGGGACTTGTGGGGAGGGGTTGAGGCTTCAACCCATTTCCCCCTGGTGCAATTCTGGTCCGGATCAGAGGCCCTGAACCTTCCATCGTTGCAAATTGAAACTTTCCTTCTGTTGCAAATAGCAGGCACAGAGGCCCTGGATCAATTGGGACCACAGCAGGACCACAGGGTAATGTTTCCAAACTCCCATTAGGATCTAGGAACTGTATCCATTGCTAGTTCTACTCACTGAAAATTAATGAACATGGCTAACTTAGGTCCATTCATTTCAGTGGGCTTACTCTGAGTAGAACTTAGTCGGAGACAACTCCGGGCTTGGATCACACATCCTGGCTCATAAAGGAAATGTTCTATTCAGCTTAAATGTTGCAGCATTCCGGTGAGGAGTGGTGGTGGCAATTGAGAGACCTGCTACGATTTCGGTTTTCCTAAACTAAGAGACCAGAAAATATAGGCAAACGATCCACTGTGTTCTTCCTCCATCACTCACCCTTTCTGCTAATACAAAGCCTAATGACCTAGAGAGAGCGGCTGGCCAAGTCAGTAGAGGTCACTCAATGCAAACAGAAACGTCAAAGAAATGGGCTTCACCATTTGACAGCTGGGTTCCCAGATGAAGCTTTAGACATGATTTGTGAACCTCGTAAGACTTAGGAGCACAAACTATGGCGGTAGTGGCGGCAATGGTGATGACGGCTTGTGGTGTCAAGAAAGTGAGGATGTGGAAAACGTGCTCTGAGTCATGATGTTGAGGAGAATGAAAAAGCTGGATCGATAGAAGGAAAAAAATCTGAGGAGATTTTTTATTGTTTTATTTGGAAGACTATTGTTTACAGTGGTGGTTTCCTCAGCACCGGTTGACCAATTGTGACATGGATTTCTTTGACTTACGGTCTGGTTGGGATCTGTTTTACACTTGAGGTGAGGAACCTGTGGGCCTCGTGACACGGTTGGATTCTGACTCCCCTCATCACTGACCCATAAGCTATGCTCTCTGGGGCTGATGGGAGTTGGGAGTCGGCAAAAAAGGTTCTCCATCCCTGAATTATGCAATGTCAAAAAATAATTTTGTTTCTCTTGGGGGCCGGGTGAAAATGTGTGGATACAAAGCGTACAAAGCGGTTCTCATCGTTTATAACCCACACAGCACAGGTTCCAGGGCAGCTCACAAGACACTGTTCTAAGCTTAGTACTCTACGGAATGTGGATCCAGCCATAGACCCTGTTAGGAAGAAAAGATAGTGCGTACTCTCTGTGTTTCAACTAGGACTGGGCAAACATGTCAGTTTTGGTTTCTCTCAGTTTCTCAGTTTTCCTGTCTTAAATTCACTTCTCCACATCTGGACATTTTCAGGCAAGTAAGAGCTGGCGTGGCAGAAGTTTATATAATTATGTTAAGGGTAAAGGGTAAAGGGTAAAGGGGTAAAGGGACCCCTGACCATTAGGTCCAGTTGTGGCCGACTCTGGGGTTGCAGCGCTCATCTCGCTTTATTGGCAGAGGGAGCCGGCGTACAGCTTCCGGGTCATGTGGCCAGCATGACTAAGCCACTTCTGGCGAACCTGAGCAGCGCACGGAAACGCCGTTTACCTTCCCACCAGAGTGGTACCTATTTATCTACTTGCACTCTGACGTGCTTTCAAACTGCTAGGTGGGCAGGAGCAGGG